ATGCAAAGATTTAACTTTACAGGATAATTTAAATAATAATATATATGACAAACAAAAAGATAAAGTTATGAAAAGTAGAATTAAAACCAATATACCGAGATCCAATTCATGATTTTGGTTTCCTTAAATTTGATCCTAAAAAAGTAAAATTTATGGAACTTGTTCAAATACCTTTAAGCCCAGAAAAAGCCAAAGTAGGATTAGAAATTCGAGTCGTAGGTAATGATGCTGGTGAAAAATTGTCAATCTTATCAGGCACCTTAGCTAGGCTTGATAGGAGGTGAGTATATTATAAACTTAACCAAGATTTATTTTCTAATCTTAATTTAATAAATCTTATTATTTTTCTTTTAGAGCACCAGAATATGGTGTTGGTGAATATAATGATTTCAACACATTTTATTTGCAAGCTGCTTCAGGAACTAGTGGTGGTTCATCTGGAAGTCCTGTGCTTGATATTGATGGACATGCTGTGGCACTAAATTCTGGTAGTGCTAGCAGAGCTGCATCCAGTTTTTATCTCCCTTTAGATAGGGTGAAACGTGCACTTCAATTTCTTCAAGAAGGAAAAAATGTGCCGCGTGGCACCATTCAGACCGAATTTGAACATATGCCTTATGATGAACTCCGTCATTTGGGTCTTGATCCTAGTATTGAAGAACAAGTTAGGGAAGAATTTCCAGATGAAACTGGTTTGTTGGTTGTTCGCGTAGTTTTACCCAAAGGTCCAGCTGATAATATTTTAATTCCGGGTGACATAGTAATTTCGGCTAATAAAGTAACAGTCACCGATTTTCTTGGTTTGTTTTCGCTTATTGATGATTCTATTGGTGAAGATATCTGCCTCGCCATATGTCGAAATAAAGTAATTGAAGAAGTTACTGTTCGTGTGCAAGATCTTCATGATATTACACCGAATAAATTTGTAGAAATTGGTGGTGGTGTTGTGAATGAATTGTCGTATCAATTGGCGCACTCATATTCTCAACCTGTTGGTGGACCTTTTATTGCCGCAAGTGGACATATGCTTGGTGGTGCATCGGCGTATCGTGAATGCATTATTGTCAGCGTCAATAATCAATTGACACCTAATTTAGATGAATTCATTAATGTTATGAAAACACTTCCAGATGGTGCAAGAGTGCCCATAAGGTTTTATTCTCTTTCTAAAATTCATAAAGAATATGTTACAATTATGAACGTAGATCGACATTGGCACAAATTTCAAGTAGCAGTTCGTGATGGTAAGTGATTGTTAACATGATCGTTTGTGATGCGAATTGTTATTGGCTGATTTTTATTTGTGATTTGTGTACATGGATCAGGTTCATTGGAAGATTTGTTGCTTGTATCTAATTCATTTATTAGATACCACCGGCTTATGGAATTATACTGAAATGCCGCCGCCTCCGGTCATTCATTCATATGAACCGATAACCGCATCATATCAAACTTTGCACGCCTCGTTAAGTCCTGCAGGGAAAGTTTGGCCTTCGTTTGTGTTACTCGAATATCGCCTACCTTATTTAGTGGATGGAATGCTAAGAAAGCAGGTAATTATAGATTATATTATTTAACAGCTTGAATGAAACTTTGCATACGTTTATTAACACGGTTTATTTTTTTTGATCCATTTTAGTTTTATGGTGTTGGTGTAATTTTCTCTACTGATCCGCCATTGATCGTTTGCGACCGTGATACTATTCCTATAGGAATTGGCGATATTTTTATTACTTTTGGTAATAGCGTAATTATACCGGGCAAAATTCTTTATCTTCATCCTATCTACAATTATGCAGTCCTCACTTATGATCCAAAGCTCTTGGGTGGTACACCTGTTCGTGCAATTGAATTTAGTGATAAAGAATTAGATCAAGGTGATGAAGTATATCTTATAAGTGTGGCAGGTGACTCGTCACCTGTGATGAAAAAAACCTATGTAAATCATATCGGTGATGTCGATACAAGGGAGTGTAACCCTCCCAGATGGAGAGCCATGAATGTGGAAGGAATAACTGTAGATGATGCTATAGGAACGCAGGGTATGTTTTTAAGTGCTACCTATTTTACATTGACGTTCAACAGTATTACAAGAATATATATATATATATATATATTAATATATGAATTGACATCAATTTATTTATAGGCGGAGTTTTGTGTGAATCCAATGGTAGAGTACAAGCCATTTGGCTTAAATACTCATCTCAGAACGATAGCGAGAACGACTACATATTTTATTGTGGTCTTCCTATATCGATAGTACTACCTACTATAGAAATGATCAAAATTGGGCAATATCCACAATTACGTGGGTTAAATGTGGAATTTTGGACGCGAAGAATAGCCACAGCTCGTGCTTATGGGCTTTCTGCAGAATGGATAAAAAGAATAGAATCTTCGGCAAAATCAAAATACACCATGCTATACGTATTAAACATATTGGATTTTACAAGTCCAGCTGGTAAACTTCTAAAAGTTGGTGACATTGTACTGATGATGAATGGCCGTTTAGTGACTAGGATGGCAGATTTACCACGTGCTTATCATCAGTCCGAAGAAGTAGATATGGTATTTAATTATATTTATATCTCTTCCGATTTATTTTTCTTGTGGTGATAACAAAAATGATTAATATATATATATATATATATAACTTTTTATAGCTAATATTGCGGGATGGTAAAGAAATTAATTTAAAGGTCGCAACGACGCCTTATCCAAAAAAGGAAACAAAACGTATCGTTTGTTGGGCCGGTGCGCTTATTCAAATGGCATACAAGGCAGTTTTAGAACAAGTGCGTAAACCTCCTACGGGTGTATACGTGTCTTGTACGCTTTATGGATCACCCGCATCTATCACATTCCACCCCGGTATATGGATTGTTGAAGTGCAAGGAAGAAAGGTTCATGATTTAGATTCCTTCTTAGATGCTGTTCATTTGCATGAAAAAGAACAGAAAGAAAACGAAGATAGTGATGGATATGTTCGAATAAAAACGATTGATAGAAGAGATGTTACACATGTGGTAGCGATGAAACTTGTTCCCCATTATTGGAACACGTGGGAATTGATGGAAGATGATAGTACACAAACAGGTTGGAAAGTTAGTTATGAGAAAAAATCTTTAGAGTCACACTAATGGTTCATCACATTTAAGAATTAGAATATTAAAAAACAAAATCTTAAAATAGTGAAAAAACTGTGATTTGTAATTTTATTTTATATTACCTTTTTTCTTTTTATTGCCTCATATTTATATAACTTTTGCATACTACATTTTATTTAAATTCCATGTATATTTGTTATTTGAGTATTGTTAAGCTTACCGGTGGCGATTATCATCGGTTAATAAAATTTAGAGAGAGGATAAAGATAAATATTGTCACGTGCTTATTATATGGTTGATTGGTTACTATTATCGTGGGCAATCAGAGTGTGGCACGTCAGAAATCTACGATAGTAGACCCTAGGTACAAACCACGGGTTTGCTTTTCAAAATTTTCCCTTAATGTTGTATCAACACTCTAGTTTAAGTTCACCAACATCAGGTCAGACAGGTGAATTGACATAATTTGTCAAATGATCGATCACATTTCGTAAATGCGGTAAAAATTGTGATTAATTAATCGAATAAGATAATTGCCTGATCGTAGTGGATCCTGTATACGATGATTTACGGCAATTTCCCCACTATCGCTATTGATAAGTCATGATAGAAAAATGTTGCGGCCTTGTGATCGTTGACCGCTCCGATTACTTCTACGTAGTCTGACAATCGGATATTTACCATTACATCATATCCATTCTTATTATACCACACCTTATTGACTTTTTCTGGCTATTTTTTTCTGTCATGACTACGTAATCCATCTCTATTGATGAAATTGGTGAAATTTCCTAAAATTATTAATAAACTTTAATTATTAATAAAATTACCGTAATTCGCATCAATAACGCCCACTTACGCATATGCATTATCGTTATTTTAAGTATGATCATCCGAAAACAGAACATTTATGCGATTGGCTATCCTAACATGTGCGTAATCTAGGATTGGCAAAATTAATACTAGTAAACTACATTATCAATAAAACTACTCTCAACCTTACAAAAATACGCAATCGTACGTATTATATGGTTCAAGCAGCTTTAAATCTCCAATCACGTGATTTCGTTCACTTTTTCATTATCTTATACATAGTAATATTAACGGAATAAATCGGAAGTAGACCGTCAATTAACCTAAAAGACGAGCACGTTCTAAAAATAATTGT